GAATTCCAAACCTGCTTTGCATTTGTGTGCTCTTCATAATGACTAAAAGTTTGTCACCATTTGAGGCACAGGTTAACTAAAAATTCAAACTAGCCCAAACTGCATTTTTGTTCTGCCACCACCTCCTCATAGGCACACCTTTATATTACTTTCTGTAAATCTTGTATTACTTTGTTTTGACTGTGTAAATCTCTTCTTTCTTAATACAGTTTCTGATTACAATTAAATACTGGGTTTCCTTGACTTCGTAAATATAGATATTTATTCTGACCATTAGTACATGGACCCGACCATGTCATATGATTTTGAGGACTAGTGTTAAACATTCGTTAGAGACTCTTGTCTGCTTGTGTGTCTCTCTAATAAAAAATTAACACAGATATTCACATATTCATCTACCCAGCTCATGTGATTGGCTTTATGCTACAAAACAAAATAAGCTGTGGCCAGTATTTTCCTAATCTCAAGTGAGGGTATCTGGGAAATAAATGTCAGCCAGATGCCAAGTATCTATAGGAGGCCACTAGTGAAGTATGAGCTGATACACTGGTACCTTGACTGTTAACTTGTTTTCTGAAAATAGTCTGCTCTGAGTTCCTAGAGATTCCCCCCAAAATGTACAATGAGCATCAACATGGATAATTATATATATTGAATAGTTATCAACATTTTAAAGTAATAGTCTTGCAGATATATGTTTAAAGTACCAAGACAGTGACATAAAAACAAATATAAATTGTCATTATTTCCAGTTTTGGTAAAGGATACATTTTTACATTTTAGAAAACTTAATTTTATACTATTTTCAGTACAAAATTGAAATATAATTATAAAACCTTTACTTGACAGGTGGCCAACAAAAATTTTAAGCAAGATTTAAGTTGAGAGCATAACTGGAGGAACTGTAGTTATATTTCTTTATAAAAATACATATTTTATGTAAATAAGTAATAAATACTTTTACTTTTAATAAATAACAAATATAGGTGAAAAAACTCTCCCTGAAGAATTCTTTGTTTTTCAAGCTTTCCCACTGAGAAAGACTGGTCTACCAGAATTTATAGGCTAACTCTGTAAAGAACCAGCATTCTCATTTCTAGAAGTTTTAAAATCATGAGTATGATAAAATTCCAAAACTGGATATCTAAGGTGCTTCATTTGAAATGCCGTTAATTAGGAAATTTGTGCTTATGTTAAGTATCTTCTGCATATAAAATTAGGAGATTTATTGTCATCAAGTAGATATATATACTTACAAAAAATCAGATTTTATTTATCTAATTCCTGAAACCAAATGTATTTTTAGTGCAATGAGCTAACACAGAAAGTGAAAGTTCTTAAAGACTAGACGATTAGTTATTTTAAAAGTGAGAAGAAATTGATTTCTAGTTAAGTATAATAATGTGAACTTACTTTTTTCAGATTGCTAAACTTATTTTATAGTAAAATATAATGCCTGTGTTTGGGAGCTCAGAATTAGCTTGATACGTTCTCATCCACAATTGGAAACAGACCAAATCCTGAAGTGATAGCTGCGTGGTTAAGTCAAAATGAGATTTGTTGATCTTGTTGCGATTTATGTAGAGAATAAAAACCGTCTCATTCTGCTTACCAACCAAGGGTTATGATGAGGTTTTAGATCATTTGTCCAAAATCAAAACAAAGGTCAAAAAGTGAATAAGCGTGATTTTTTCATGCCCATCTTTTAAAAATCTTTAAACTTTTACTTTTAATTTTCTCATTAATAAAGTTACTTTGGTAAAAAAAAAATTGAGTAATTTAATATGACATTTTTGTAATACTATTTATTCAACATCTAACTATTGAGTGTAAGGTGCTGAATGGGATTTTGTTAGATAATACATGAATATAAGACATGATGTGGCCATCAAAGAGTTTTTCATCATCTTTCAATAAAGGGGCTAAAAAATGATCAGTAAAATCACTATCACTTCATGGCCCATCTTAGTAAGTTCACTGCAGGCAGAGGCAGGATTTTCGAGTCATCTTGTTTTAACTCACACAGATATCGGGAAGTCCTGTTTGGGCGGAAGGGATGCTCAGTAGGTCCATAACTAGGACGTTTTCCAAGGAGTTCTGGGCCTGATGTGATGCAATCTGAACACATATTTATTTTCTGAAATGTATGCTTCAAAACAGTTCATTGTAAACTGGAGAAGAAAGTTCAGAGACTTCTGCATGTCCTCTGTCTCTTCCATACAACCTCCCCCCTTCTCCCCGCCTTGCGACGTCCTGCACCACAGTGATGCATGAGTTCAGCCACAAACCTGCATTGACACAGCATTATCACCCAAGTCCACAGTTCCCATTAGGGCTCACGTTCCAAGGGAATAGAAATGTGTGCAGTGACAGGGACCCGCTACTACAGCCATTACAGTGTAATCCAGATCAGCTGCTTTGCCCCCAAGATCCCAGTGTTCCACCTGTTCATCCCTCCCTCCCCAGCCCTAGAAGCCCTGGATTTTTTTTTTGTCTCCTTTTGCCTTTTCTAGAATATCATATAGTTTGGATCACACAGTGTGCTGCCTTTTCAGATTGGTCTCTTTCAGTTAGTAATATGCATTTCCATTTCCCCCATATTTCCGTGGCTCTAGTTCATTCCTTTTTAGTGCTGAGAGAGATCACATTGTCTGACATACCGTGGCTTCTTTCTACACTCACCTACTGGAGATCGTCTCAACTGCCTCTGGGTACTGACAGTTATGCATAGAGCTGCTGCAAGACATCCATGTGCAGACTTTTGTTGGGCAAGTTTTCAACTCCTTGGGCAAGTACCAAGGAGAGCATTTGCTGGATCCTATGGTAAGAGGATGTCTGATTTTGTGAGAAGCTGCTAGGCTGTCTTCCACAGTGGCTGTATCATTTTGCATTCCCACTAGTAGTGAGTGAACGTTCCTGATGCTCTGTGTTCTTGGTGGCATTTTGTGTTGTCGGTGTTCTGGATTTTGAACTGAACATGTATTTCTTGATAGACTCTTTTTTTTTTTTTTTTGGCCAAGATTTGCGCTATCCTATAAAAACTCAGATTATAAGTGAGATTAGCTGAAAATTTCTAGCAATCATTATTCTAATAAATTACTAAGATAATTCTTTGTGAGTGATTTTTTTTGAGAAAATGTATATAGTCAGGCTTTATAGAACATATGGTGACATTTTATATTTAATATTTATAAGATTATCATTGTGTTAGCAGGCAGGTTTCTTTTGAGAAGTCATTTTTTATAGAAATAATTGATCAGTAAGTTTACTGATTTTCTATTCTCCAGTAACCTTTCCAGAAGTTACCATGGATTATTATTTTACTAAAATGAATGGATAGGAAAAATGGAAATAAAATTTGTTCTAATAAAAATAAGGCATTTATAACAGACTAGTAGTTTTACCTTTGGATATCTATATAAATGATTCTTCTAATGAAAAATATTTTCCCTTAGACCTACCTCAAAGACCTATTGTAAGTGTAACTTAAGCGTAAAAAAGACTAATCCTCTTGAAAGTTATGATTCAAGACACTCAGAAGTACTCATACATCCTGTGGTAGCCGCATTGTTTTTTCTGGTTAGTGTTCTGGCATAGGGGAAAAAAAAGAGACATTTTCAATTATCACCTAAACACTGACTTCTGTATCCACATAATAACCCAACTATGTAACAAGGATTGGAGAGTATATTGGGTTTAGGTATGATATAGTCAATCTGAAGGGGACCATGGCGTAGGGTAGCTGGGTGGTCAAGAATGCAGGCTTTGGAATTAGAACTGGATTTAATGTTGAGATTTTGCTGCTTAGTAACGTGTGTCCTTGGATGAGTTGGTTAAGGTGTTTGTGGCATAGCTACCTCACTTGTAATGTGGGAAAGATAGCATCTGTTTGTGGCCATTTTAACGATGGCAGGAGATACCATGCAGTCCTCAGAATAATGTCTGATACCCAATAGGTGCTCAGTAAGTGCAGCCGCTGTTCTTGTTGTTCTCAAGATTAGCCAGGCTTATACTTACACCTTCTTTTTAAACTCATGACGGAAAAGGAAGGGCAGGGTGTTTCTGCTGTCCAGCTCACCAGGAGCGGAGTGGCAGTAGATTCTGGGAGCAAAGGCTCATGACAGGGAGATTTAGAATATCTTGCTGCCTTTTCATAAGTCAGTTCGGTCTTCCTGCCTCTTCAGCAACACCTTTTGTGGTGTCAGAATGAAGGATTCTGCACTGACTCTGTTCCCTCCTCATCTGGCGTCCATTGATCTCTGCATGCTACAAGGTTGATGCTTTTCCAAGCTGCTCTGCTTTGCCCTGGCAGCACAAAACATGCCATGCTCATGACTGTAATGTCCCAGCGTGTGTCACAGCTAACATGTCTCCAGCACATGTGATGCATCCAGGAGTCCCATTGCTGCAAAGACCGTGTCTGCAGCAGAGATGCTTGGTTCCTTACTTAGCTTAACCACATGTAAACTGTGTGGCGATATTTTAGACTTTACTCCAAACCTAATGATTTATATCACTATTGTAAGTATTGGCACTACTAATGATTTCTATGACTGTTCCTTACACTTATATCTTCATGTTTTGTGTTAATCAAGGTAGGCAAGTAGTTGTAAAAGCAACCCTAGATCTCAGTGCCACTGTGGGTAGGATTGGCAGAGAGAATAAAAGATGCCAATTAAATTTGAATTTCAAATAAGCAGTGGAAAATTTTTAAATATACATGTGTTCTGAATATTGCATAGACATATAGGTGGATCTTTAATGCTGCATTAGACATCCTTATATAAAACTTACTTGTTTATCTGAAATTCAGACTCAGTAAGGCCTTCTATGTGTTTGCTGGTTGAAGTGGCAGGCCTGCATTGTAGACAAGTGATGTGGAGTAGGCAGGGCGCTGCCTTCCACAGTCACTGAGCGGTCTGTGTTTCTTCTTTCCCAGGTGCCCTTGCATGTTAGGCCACGTCCTCCTTGACGTTCAGCCCCTATATGGATGACAACAGGGCACACGTGGAAGTTCTGTGGGAGGTTTAGGGCCAGACTTGGACACCTCTCCTGGTCATACCCTTGCACACATCACCCACACTCAGTCCTATGGTCTCTGCTCGTGTGGTCTTGAGCTGTGGATCCCAGAGGAAGAAACAGGTTAGAGAGCAACCAGACTCTACTATATTCCCTTGTCCACTAAACCAGTGCCATCATGATTGTTTTTATTTTAGAGCTTTGGCCTTTTGAACAAGTGGGAAATCAGCTCACTTACTCTTGGTTTTGTCCCCCCCCAAAAAAAAGATTCCTTTTAAACATTCTCTCCTCTTATGTCTTTCCCTGGAATCATCAAAATTAGTTGAACTATTTCTCCAATGGTTAGTTAGACTTTAACAATATCGTGTCTAGACAAAGTTCAAGGTGACACAGACCTGCCCGTTTCTTGTTCTGAAATAGGCTGAAAGGCACCCTATCCATAGCTGTCCACTGAAAAGATACAGATTGCCTTCTGGAGTCAAACAGACTTCATCTGATGATGAGATAGGAAGGTGGATGTCCAGTGTTGCAGCCAAGATAAAGACTTGCATTGTGAAGATGGAGTTTGTACTTGAGGGTCTGAGTAGATAATTGCTGGTAGCTGCACACTACTTGTCTCAGGACTGCACAGCACACACATCATTGTGATCCACTTATATACATTACATTCTTTGTTAAGAGCCTAAATACCTTTAGCAGAGTAGTTATACGGTATTTAAGAAGTAGAAAAAATAGTCTTTTAGATGACTGTTTTAAAATGACATTTTATTTATTCAGTTCTTCATTCTTTCATTTAGCAAATCATTATTGGATGCCTTCTAATTGTAGGATGGAGCATGTCTAGATAGAGCATGGTTGGAAAAATATATAAGTAGCCACAGTTACAGTGATGGGAATTCTTATGTTTAATTCTTGAGATTGAAAGGATACCCTCAGTGTCAAGTTTTTTGAGTCACATAGAAGTGTCCCTCAGAGATAATGCAGTTTAGTTTCAGACGGTAACATTTTTTAAAAAATTGTGATAAAGTGAGTATTGCAATAAAATGAATCACACAAATTTTGGTTTCCAATGCATGTAAAAATGATGTTTACACTGTACTTCAGTCTACTAAGTGTTTGCAATAACATTACATCTAAAACAGCAATGTACATACCTTAATTAAAAAATACTTTATTGCTAAGGAATGCTACCAATCATCTGAGCCATCAGCAGGTTGCAATCTTTCTGCTGGTGGAGGGTCTTGCCTCAATGTTGATGTCTGCCAATTGATCAGGGTAGTGGTTGTTGAAGGTTGAGGTGGCTGTGGTAATTTCCTAAAATAAGACAACAGTGAAATTTGCCATATTAGTTGCCTCTTCCTTTCAGGGAAGATTTCTTTTTAGTATGCGATGCTGTTTGATGGCATTTTACCCACAGTATAATTTCTTTCAAAATAGGAGTCGATTATCTCAAACGCTGCTGCTGCTCAACTAAATTTATGGAGAATTCTAAATCCTTTGTAGTCATTTCAACAATGTTCACACATCTTCACCTGTAGATTCCATCTCCAGAAACCACTTTCTTTGTTCATCCATAAAAGGCAACTCCTACTTATTCAAGTTTTATCTTGAGATTGCAGACATTCAATCATATCTTCAGGCTTCACTTCTAATTTTAGTTCTCTTACTATTTTCACAACATCTGAGATAACTCCACTAAAGTCTTGAACCTCTCAGTCATCTAAGAGAGTTGGAATCAATTTCTCCCAAACTACTGTTCACATTGCTACTTTGACCTCCTCCCATGAATCATTAAAGTTTTTAATGACAGCTAGAATGGTGAATTTTTATCCAGAAGATTTTCACTTGATTCTGCCTGCATCTGTCAGAAGAATCACTATCTATAGCATTTATGCAAAATATATTTCTTAAATAATAAGACTTGCAAATCAGAAAAACTCCTTGATCCATGGGCTGCAGAGTGGATGTTGTGTTAGCAGGCATGAAAACAGCATCTCTTTTTTTCCTGAGCAGTAGGTCTCAACAGTGGGATAGTTAGTGAATCATGCTGTAAACAGATGTGCTGTCATCCAGGTTTCGTTGTTCCATGTATTGAGCACAGGCAGAGTCAATGTAGCAGAATTCTCAAGGGCTCTAAGATTTTTGGAATAATACATGAGTACTGGCTTCAGCTTAAAGTCATTAGCCACATTAGCCCTAACAAGAGAGTCAGGATGGACCTTGAAACTTTGAAGCCAGGCAATGATATCTCCTCTCTAGCTATGAAAGTCCTAGATGGCATCTTTTTCCAACAGAAAGCTGTTTCATCTACATTGAAAATCTGTTGTTTAGCGTAACTACCTTAATCAATAATCTTAGTTAGATCTTCTGGAGAACTTGTAGCAGCTTCTCTGTTAGCACTTGCTGCTTCACCTTGCACTTTTATGTTATGGAAACAGTGTCTTTCCTTAAACCTCATGAACCAACGTCTGCTGTCTTCCAGCTTTTCTCCTGCGATGTCCTCACCTTCCTCAGCCTTCATAGAATTGAAGAGAGTTAGGGCCTTGTTCTGAATTAGGCTTTGGCTTAAGTAAATGTTGTGACTGGTGTGATCATCTATCTAGACCATTCAGACTTTCTCCATATCAGCAATAAGGCTGTTCCACTTTCTTATCATTCATGTGTTCACTGGAGTAGCACTTTTAATTTCCTTGAGAATTTTCCTTTACATTCGTAATTTGGCTAACTATTCAGCACAAGAGACTTAACTTTGAGTCTATCTCAGCTTTTGACCTACCTTCCTCACTAAGCTTAGTTATTTCTAGCTTTTAGTGAGAGATGTGCAACTCTTCCTTTCACTTAAACATTTATTGCTGGCCTAATTTCAATATTGCTGTGTCTCAGGGAATAGAGAGGCCCGAGGAGAAGGAGAGAGATGGGAATGGCATTCAACGGAGCAGTGAGAATACACGCAAAGTTTATGGGTTAAGTTTACTGTCTGTTATGGGCCTGGTTTGTGGCACCCCAAAACAGTTACAACAGTACTATCAAAGATCGCTGATCACAAATCACCATGATGGATATAAGAATAATTTAAAAGTTTGAAATATTGCTAGCATTACCAATATGTGCCACAGAGACACACAGTGACCATGTGCTGTTGGGAAAATGGTGCTGACAGACTTGCCGCAAACCTTCCACTTGTAAAAAATGCAGTATCTGAGTAGCCCAGTAAAGTAAAAAACAATAAAGTGAGGTTGCCTGTACAGTAAGTTCCCTACATGTGAACCTTCAAGCTGTGAACTTTCAAAGATGTGAATGTGCACTAGCATGTCCAATCACGTATGTTAGTTCACATGTCTGGCATACATTGTCTTGTGCATGCATCCTCTACAAGTGGTTGTGCTTTTGTGTACTTTACTGTATTGTATATAGTATAGATAGTAGTACAGTATCTTTATTTCGAGCCCAGGATGTCTGGAAGCAAGTGTAAAAACAGTGGTGATGATACTGAATAGCTTATTGCGTTAGTTGGGTATCTAAGCTAACTTGGTTGGACTTACAAATTTGACTTAAGAACTTGCTCTTCAAACAGAACTCGTTCATATGTAGGGGATTAACTGTATTCAGCGATAATAGTCTTGTTTTAATCCTAAAATGCCTCCTGATTCTCATGATAGTCTCTGAAATTTCAGCATGTCTGCCTGGTGTGAAGCATACCATAGGTGCCAACAGCAGAGTGGATTGACTCATGTGAAAGTCGGCTCTTAGAGCTCATCCACACTGTCTTCTGTCCAACTAATCAGCCACTGGGAAGAAGAAAACTCTGTGGATAGTTAAAAAAAGATTTTTGGCTCTCTCCGCGGTGGAGGCAGGGAAGCAGGTTGATCCCGCCACTGAGGCCGCCACCGCCTGCGGGGAGCGAGGAGAGGCTGCAACCGGGGAGAAGTCGCCGGAGTCGCCGCCAGAGAGGTGTCAGACTCCCCAGCAGCCGCCTCTGGAGAGGCCCGCCCACCCCCTTGCCCATCCCCCTGTCCCGTTGACAATGCAGCCTGCTCTGCAAAGTGGTACAATGGAAGGGACTATGTTTTCATTGAATTTGGTGTTGAAGACAGTAAAGATGTTAATGTAAATTTTGAAAAATCTAAACTTACGTTCAGCTGTCTTGGCGGAAGTGATAATTTTAAACATTTAAATGAAATTGATCTTTTTCACTGCATTGATCTAAATAATTCCAAGCATAAAAGAATGGACAGATCGATTTTGTGTTGTTTACGAAAAGGAGAGTCTGGCCAGTCATGGCCAAGGTTAACAAAAGAAAGGGCGAAGTTTAATTGGCTTAGTGTGGACTTCAATAATTGGAAAGACTGAGAAGATGATTCAGATGAAGACATGTGTAATTTTGATTGCTTCTCTGAGATGATGAACAACATGGGTGGTGATGAGGATGTAGATTTACCAGAAGTAAATGGAGCAGATGATGATTCACAAGACAGTGATGATGAAAAAATGCCAGATCTGGAGGAAGGAATATTGTCGTCACCTGGATTTTGAGAAAGCAAAATAACTTCTGCAAGATTTCATAATTGAGAGAATTCCTGAGTTGATAGCTCTAAAGGCAGATGCTGTATTTGCCTCCTTTAACCCATTTTTCAACCTGTTTTGTTTTTTAAAAGGCTTTACTAAGGGTTTATAATGTACCATTGTATGGGGCAATTTTAAGTCAGCTAAGGCAATAACCTTATGCATGAACATTTCCCAGACTTCCATGAAGCTATTGAGGTCCTAGGCAATTGATGCAGCAGTTGTGATAAACACATTTCACCTAAGTCTCCTTTCTTCGTAACATAGATACTGACATGATAGGGAAAGAGTACTGAATTTTAGGTTTTAGAACATGGACTCAAAAGTGACTGAAACAAATTGGCTGATACCTTAAACTGGTAACCTGCTGGTCCTCTGGTGCATCCTTCAGGGTTGTTCACTGAAGTTTATTTTTCAAAAAATTTACTTCACATTATTGTATGTAAGTGATCATTTGTCAGTGATCCAGATGTATCTTAGCTAAAACTAGTGAATGCCCTAACTTAGGTGGTTTTTGAAGCCTATACATTTGGTATTGTTCGGCCCTTAAGCTTTTATATCTCTTAGCATGGAGGACAAAGAAAGCTGTACATTGTTGCTTGAGAGTCTGTACATTTAGACCAGATTTGTATTCGCACTGTCAGTATGGCAAATGAGTGAAAAAAAATGTTAATACACTATTGGAATTTTTTATTTCTTTTTTTGATTCAGCTTATACCAGGGTTGAAAACCTCAATTTATGTTCATGACAGTGGGGATTTTTTTAAATGTCTACATTTTTTCTAATAAACTGTTGGAAGACCTAAAAAAAAAAAAAAGATTTTTGGGTGTTGATCATAGAAATTACCTAATAAAATATTGGGTTTTATTAAACAGTAAAATCAGATAAGCCCAGTGAGATTGAAACATGTTAAGGATATTAATAATAATCTCTCATTTCTTTGGAGAAAGTCAACAAATACAATTTTGAAACATTTAAAAATTTCTTTCAGAAAATGAATCTCATCTTTTCTGGAATAGATATCAAGTGCTACAATATTGTTAAACTATAGTTACACATACTGTCCCAGTACCAAAATATCTGAACATAATATATTTTTTTCTGTCCTTTAATAGAGCTAAGCATATAGGTGATTTTTTAAAAAATCTTGTTTGCTTCCAAGTGTTGGCAATTGTGAGTAAAGCTTCTATAAACATTTATTTGCAGGTTTTTTGTGAACATAAGTTTTCAATTCTTTTGGGTAAATACCAAGCATAACAATTGTTGGGCCATATGGTCATTCTTTTTTTTTTTTTGAGTTGGAGTCTCACTCTGTCACCCAGACTGGAGTGCAGTGGCTGCTCCCGGCCACTGCAGCCTCAACCTGCTGGGCTCCGGCAATCCTTCTGCCTCTGCCTTCCAAGTAGCTGGAACTACAGGCGCATGCTACCACGCCCAGCTAATTTTTGATTTATTGTAGAGATGAGGTCTCGCCAAGTAGCCCAGGTGGGTCTCGAACCCGTGGGCTCAGGCAATCCACTCACCTCAGCCTCCCAAAGCGCGGGATTACAGGCTGAGCCACCAAGCCTGGCTGGTCATTCTTAATGGTAAGAGTTTGTTTAGTTTTGTAAGAAGTTACCAAACTGTTTTCCAAAGTGGCTGTGTCATTTTGCATTTTGAGAGTTCCTGTTGCTCTACATCTTCACCAGCATTCAATGCTGTCAATGTTCTGGATTTTGACCATTCTACTAGGTGTATAGTGGAACCTCATTGTTTTATTTGGCACTTCCTTAATAACTTGTGATGTGGGGCATCTTTTCATATACTCATTTGCCATCTGTATATCTTCTTTGGTGAGATCTCTTCAAATTTTTGGTCTGTTTTGGGGGTGTTTGTTTTGTTATTGTTACATTTTAAAGAGTTCTTTGTATATATTTATAACTGTTCTTTATCAGATGTGCCTTTTACAAATACTTTCTCCCACTTTGTGGCTTATCTTCTCATTTTCTTGACAGTGTCTTTCACAGAGCAGAACTTTTAAATTTTAATAAGATCATGTTATAAATTCTTTCTTTCATGCATCTTGTCTTTAGTAGTCTATCTAAAAGTTATCTAGATTGTATCCTATGTTATTTTTCATATAGGTCTGTGACCCATTTTCAGGTAATTTTTGTATAAGATCTGTGCCTAGAATCATTTTTTTGCATGTGGATGTCCAGTTATTCTAGCACCACTTATTGAAAGACTGTCTTTTTTCCATTTGATTGCCTTTGCTCCTGTGTCAAACATCAGTTGACTATATTCTGTGGATCTGCTTCTGAACTTTCTCTTCTGTTCTTTTTTTTTTTTTCCTCTGTCAATACACCATTATCTGGTTACTATAGCTTTATTGTCAGTTCAAATTTGTTCTTTCACTTGTTGAAGAATATTTTGTTTACTATTCTGGGTCTTTTGCCTCTCTGTATTAACGTAATAATTTATTTGTAAGTATCCATAAAACAACCTGGTTGAACTTTCACTGGGATTTTGCTGAATCTATAGGTCAAGTTGGAAAGAACTAGCATCTTGACAATATTGAGTCTTCCTATTCATGAATATGGGATGTCTCTCCATTTATTTAGTTTTTTTATTTCTTTAATAGGAGTTTTATAGTTTTTCTCATACATATTTTGTTAGATTTATACACAAGGTGTTTCATCATTTGGGGTGCTAATGTAAATGGTATTGTGCTTTTAATGTCAAGTTTCACTTGTTCATTGGTGGTTTATAGGAAAGCAATTGGCTTTTGTATTTTAATCTTGTATCCTGACACCTTAATATAATCACTTATAATCACTCTTCTCTTGATTTCATTGTTTCTGAGAATTCAGATGTAATTGTTAATTTTGTTCTTCTACTGGTAAGGTATGTGTGTGTGTTACCTCTGGCTTCTTTCAAGATCTTTTTTTTTTCTATTCCTTTCCATTTAAATATGACATGTCTAGGTGTCAGTTTTTGTTTTGTTTTGATTTTGGCATTTATCCTGCTACATGTTCTCTGTGCTTCCTGGTTCTCTGGTTTGGTGTCTGACGTTAATTTGGAGAAATTCTCAATTATTAGTGCTTCAGATGTTATTTCTCTTCCTTTTGTTTTTCTTTTTATATCTCCATTATGCACATTGGCACTTCTTATAGTTTTCCATTGGTTCTTGGATAATCTGGATATTCTGTTCTGGTTTTTTATTAGTTGTATCTCTCTTTGGTTTTCCATTTTGAAGTTTCTGTAGGTGTATTCTCAAGCTCAAAGACTCTTTCCTCAGTCATATCTAGTCTACTAATAAACCATCAGAGGTATGTTTTATTTCTGTTACAGTGGTTTTTATCTCTAGAATTTCTTTTTTATTCTTGGAATTTTCATTTTTCTGCTTACACTGTCCATATGTCCTTGTAATTTGGTTACTTTATCCACGAGATTTCTTAAATTATTAATCATCAGTGTTTTAAATTCCCAGTCTGATATTCCACCATCCATTCCATGTCTGAGTCTGGTTCTGGTGTTTGCTGTCTTTTCAAACTGTGTGTTTGCCTTTTAGTAGGCCTTGTGGTTCTTTCACAATATCCTGGGTGAAAGTAACTGCTGTAATAAACAGTAAGGTGGTGGTAACACGTTGAGAGGCACACTATTCACCATAGCAAAAACATGGAACCATCTGTGCTGCTCATCAAAACGGCCAGATTTTTTTTTAAAATGTGGTACATATACACAATGGAATATTACACAGTCATAAAGAAGGACAAACATATGGACTTCGCAGCAACTTGGATGGATTTAGAGTCTATCATACTTAAAGGTCTATCACAGAAACAAAGAACAGAGAGAACATGTTCTCGAACATGTTCTCACTCATAAGCAGACCCTGAGCATTTACCAAAATACCATAAGAAAGGGATTGGCTGTAACGGGATACTGCCATGGTGGGGGTTAGAGGGACACAGTATCAATAAGGGTAACTGATTTCAAACCAGACAAAGTGGGGAGCAAAGGGTGGTCTAAACTTTACCTGTACAATGACCACTGATATACCTAATCCTGAATTGTGCTCCACATGTTTAAAATAAAATTTAAAAATGTAAAATATTTTTTAAAAAAAGAGAGACAGGAAATATCTGTAGTCCTGTGAGTAGGACTCAGTCTTTTAGTGTCCCTGTGCCTTTGGGCTGGAAATTTACAAGTGCTATCTCCCTCACCCCTACCCCTTAGGAGAGGAAGGGTGGTTTAGGTGGACTGGGTTGAGTACTTCCCTTACCTCAGGCATTTAGGCTCTGATAAAACCCTAGCAGGTTAGGCTCTGGTTAAGTAGTTTCTCTTGAGGGCAGACGTTGTTAGACATCACTATCTAAAAAGCATAGATAGAAGTCACATGGCAAATTAAAATATTTTTACTTAATAAAAATATATCAAAATTTGTGGGGTATAGCTAATTACTGGCAGAAGCCAGTATGTGCTCTGGCACATGTCAAAATGGTCCTTTTTTCCTTCCCCCATTCCCCACCAGAAACAAGGAGACTTCTCTCCAACACCTGCTTTGAGAACCTGGTCAAGCCCCCCCCATGACTGGGTTACCTAGAATTCTTGACTCGGATTTGTCCATAGTGACCTTCCAGTACTTCATCAGTTATGGTTCAGGTTTTCCTGACACAGTACTGGTTCCAGGGGAGATTTCTGCTCTGGTCAGTTGTGGTTCTCATATTTGCCTGTCTCTCTGGTTTTGGGGGCAGTGGTATGCCCTGTGACCTCACCTCTCTTACAGATCTAAAAACCAATCTTATAGATTGGTTGTTGGTTATTTGGTCAGCATTGTACATTTTGTTAGGACAGAGTGGTGATTCCCAGGCTCCTTACATGGAGTCTGTTACCCTTTTTATGTGTTGTGTTGGATTCTAATGTTCATATTGTGTTAAAGATATTTGTGTCTACATTTATGAGAGATATTGATCTGTGTTTTCCTTTCTTGTAATTTTTTTGTCTGGTTTTGCAGTCAGAATAATACTGGTTTCTGTCAGTAATTATCTATACCCCCAAAATTTTGATACATATTTATTAAGTAAAAATATTTTAATTTCCCATGTGACTTTTAGCTATATGTTCTTTAGATAGTGTTGTTTAACATAAAATGTTTGGAGATTTTTCAGGCACATTTTGTTTTCAATTATTAATTTAATTTTATTGTGGTCATGTAACATATTTTGTATGTTATCTTTGTAAATTCACTGAGACTTGTTTTATGGCACAGCAGATGGTCTATTTTGGTGAACACTTTAATGGTACACATTGAAAAAATGTGTATTCTGCTATCTCTGAGTGTAGTGTTTTGTAAATTCTGTTAGATTTAGTTGGTTTATAGATTTCTTCTAGTTTTTTATGCTCTTACTAATTTTTTATGTATGTTCTATCATTCACTGAGAGAGAAATGTTAAAATCTCTACCTATAATTATCTGTTTCTTATTTCAGTGCAGATTATCTTTGCTTCATATACTTTAAAGCTTATTAATTAGACACAAAACCTTTAGGATTGTTTTATCTTTTTGTTCTGTTGAACTTTTGTTATCATAAAACTGTCATTTTTCTGATATTCCTTGCCTGAAGTCTAATTTATCTGGTCACTCCAGCTGCCTATGATCATATTTGAAGGTATATTCTTCTCTCTACTATTCCGTTTAACTTACATGTGTCTTCATATGTAAAGTGTGTTTCTTGGAGCAGCATGTATTAGATCTGGTTTTATTATCCACTCTAAGTCAATGCTTTTATTGCAGTGTTTAGACCACTTATAGTTTATAAA